TTACATTAAAAATAACATTAAATGAAATTTCTAAACTCAAAAACTACAGTTGATCTTTGTATATTAACTTTGTTTCCTTTGGCTTCACCCAATTTATTTATTCATTCTAGTAAAGATGAATAAATTTCTACTAGTCTCTATACTAGTCTCTATACTACTTTCTTTCCTTTATCTTACAGAAAGGCTAGGACTTCCCATAGAGTATAGACTGTAAATGGGAAGGATGGGCTGTTTTCCTTCTTAGCCTTATAGAGAGTTAATACTTTGGCATTAGATGAACCTTTCAGTCAATTTTGTTGTTGTTGTTTTGTTTTTTACAACAACCTCTTTATCAGATTAAGGACTTTCTTTTCTGTTTTTCATTTGCTGACTATATTTTATGATGAATGAGCCCTGAAAGTTGTTGATTTTTATCACTTCTCGGCCTTTTGGCTAAGATCACATGAAAGTTGTTGATTTTTTTTCCCATTGTGTAATGAAAAATCCTATGGTTTTTCTCTTGCATTCTGGTAACGTGATAAATTTTATTAATTTTTAAATATTAAAACAAGCTTGTACTCTTGATAATAAGCATAGCAATAATACATTACCCTCAATATAGTATTTTGACAAATATAATTTACTAAAACTTGAAGAACTTTGCATTATTTGTAAGAAATATTAGTCTATTCTTTTCTTCTTTGTTATTGAGGTCTTACTTTCAGATAATGCTGGTCTCATGTATCAAATTGAAAGGACCATGAAAATATTTTGTGTGAATATAGGTCAAAAGGGGGAATCACACGATGACCTGTGCCAAGGAAATGAATTAACCATGTTTTGTCCCTCTGAATATGGCAGGTTGTACATTCTGAAATTTGCCACAGATACCAAAATAATGGTGAACAGAAGGTTGAGCTTGGCTATTGATAAAGACAGAATCAGCAGAAAATGAGGCAAAGCCACACCCACTGCTAAATGAAGTTAAGTTTGAGCATTCCATTTAAATGTCTGTAGTTTCACCTGCTTCTTCTTCTTCTTCTTTTTTTTTTTTTTTACAAAGCTTTCCTCTTACGGCTGGCCAGATAGCTCAGCGGATTAAAGAACTTGCTTAGGCAGAGGCAGGGACCGGGGTTCAATCCCCAGCGTGCGATTGAGATTGGGTGTGGTGGTGCGCACTTATAATCCCAGCTCTTGGGAGACTGAAAACAGGAGAATCACTATGAGTCTGATCTGTGTAGTGAGGCCCTGTAGGCCCTGTATTAAATACAAAACAAAAACCTTTCCTCTTAAAATATTGATTTCATTTTTTTGATACCATTAAGAGGAAGAAATAAAGGCATAGATTCTATAGCTTTCACAATTTTAAACAGGTAACATTTATAATAAGAAATTTGTACACTAGGCTGTTGTCTCCCCTGCTACTAATACAGGGAGAAAAACTGATCTCAGGTGGGTGACCTCCAAATGATACAGGGAACCCCCACATGATATAGGGAAAAAATGATCTCCTCACCTGACATGGATGAGTTTGTGTTCTCTAAAACTGAAGAATGAATTTTAGGAACAAATGGAGGGTATGGGCAGAATATATTTATTGAGGGAAAGAAAGCTCATGTCTGAGAGAGGGACAGGAGGGGTCCCCAAGTGGGTTGTCCCCGGGAAGCTGTCTCCTCCAGGGACTTTTATAGAGGAAAACCATTCGGTGAGACAGGTCTAAGGTGATGGAGAACATGGGAACTTGCTTAGGTGGGCATGAGGTGGGACAAAAGTATGGTCAACCAATGGGATTACAAGCACCATTGCTCAGGTAAAATTGATTAAGTCCAGGACCAAATGGGGAAGCGAGTCACGTAACAAGTGGACATGAATACAGAACAGGACTTTATCAGGTAGCCATCCAGTAGTAGTCGGATTAATGATTCTTCTGGCTCCTCAGGATGATGATCGATTTCGGGTGCCAATCTTTAGGGGAGTCAGCATTTGTTTGATCTTTGGTCTTTAGGTCTGGCCCACGGTGAGGACATCCTTCCCTCCCACAGTTGGAAGACATCTTCTCTTCTGTGTTATCTCCTTTGAGGGCCTAACCGTGTCTGACTGCCTATAATATTTCTATCTAACTCAGCTGCCTGCAACAGTACCAGGAATTGAACCCAGGGGCTTTCCCACTAAACCACACTCCCAAGCGCTTTTAATCTTTTCATTTGAGCCAGGGGGTCTTGCTAAATTTCCCAGGCTAATCTAGAACTTGTTAGCCTCTGTTTCATGAGTAGCTAGGATTATGGGCATGCACCCCCACCCCCAACCAAGACCAGTTATTGAAGCTTGTGTATTATTTGGGTTACTTCCAAACCAAAAAGAAATTTCCTGGACATCATGTGTTCACTTTTATTACTTGTTTTTCTATGTTAATTTAAATTTGTAAACAAAAAAAGCTTTTGTTCTTTGCTTTTACGTAACTGTAAAAGTTAAGTGCAAACAAAACTTTGCAGACAGTGTAATGCAAGCTAATACTTTATTTGGGGGAAAGGATGATATTGTTTTGCTGACATTAAATTCATGCATTGGATCTGAAGGCAGCCCTTGGCTTCGGCAAGCCTGGGTTCCTTGGTGCCATTGAAGGATTTCATCCTTTTGCTCATGTCTCCATTTGAACTTCATGAAGTATTTTCCATATGTCACTGGCTGAATCACTTCCATGTCACTCCACCTCTGTGCTCTGTCCTTTTCCTTGTAGCGAGAGATTATAAATGCAGTTAACAAAATCATGACCATATCCAGCCTTTAAGACCTAACCTAGATGACATGTTGCTTTATTAACTCCTTTTAGACTACCATAAGAATACAAACTTTAGAAACCTAGCGAATGGTATGCCTTCAAGAATGTCCTATAAATCGGTGCCCTTGGGTGCTGTCTCTTAACATTAGAAGTCTGCAGAGAGGAGGTGCATAGAAGGGTCAGTAAGGCATGGAGGCTGGATAGCCATGTCAGGAGCCTCCCAGCATGAGTTCTGAGGACCTGAGGTGCAGCAGAGAGAGGCAGGCGTGGCCAAGGCAAGAGGACGAGACTGCGACAGGCGTGCTCCAGGATGTACAAGGCCGCCAGGCGCACGCTCCCTGACCCAGCAAGGCGGATCTTTCCTTTACTGCCTTGTGTGGTCCTTGTGTTGAACTTAGGTGTCACAGGCAGGCCCAGAACTTATCTTTGGGCACACTGGACCATGGCTTGTGGTGCCAGGGCAGAAAATTGTTCAAAGCTGTAACTTCTCTAAAAGCAAGGCACATCTGCAATTGAATAGAGAGTTTGGCTTTCTTTGAAATGTAGGATTGACTTTGTGTGCCCTTCCTTTTTCTATTTAAAAAAAAATGAAATTTTAATAGCATTCAACTTGTGATCCCCCTGTTGACAAAACTTTAAACCCACAATACTGTATTGATAACTACAGTTAGAACAGTGTACAATAGATCACTAGAACTTGTTCAGTTTGGCATGGTTGCAACTTTATTTTCTTTGAAGATCAACTCACCATTCCCCTACCCCTCTCCAGAAACCATCTGCTACTCTCTGACCCTGTGAATTTTGAGTACTTTAGATTTCTCTAGTAAGAGAAATTCCTTATAAGTGCAATTGTGTAACAGTTGCCCTTCCATGCCTGGCTTATTTCACTTAGCCCAGTGTCTTCAAGGTTTATCCATGATGTCATGGATTATAGGAGTTCCATCTTTTTCAAGAAAGAATAATATTTCACCCGCCCTGTAAATGTGAAGTGAATCTGCCTTTTCAGGTCCACCCAGTCTAGGTCGGCCATCCCGTGTCAGTTCTCCATCCTGTGATTTCCCAAATGCCCTCATCAACTGATAGTGCATGAATAGAGGAGGAAAAGACGCCCTGGTATCTACAGAGGGATGAGGCCTGAACAGGAATTTTCTTGCAGCTGCAGTTCCACAGTTGCGTGGTGCTCCTGTGTGCCTCCCTGCCCTCCCTGGTGCACTTGCTCTGTCTTCCAGGGTCACCTTGTCCGGTGGCTCCAGAAAGTTTTTCTCATCACTCCCTTCTCCTTGCACAAATGCCTCTGGCTGCGGAGCTTCCGTGCCTTTGTCCACTCATTTATCTTTGCCTGCTCGATGAGGGCCCTGGCCAGGCTGCCCAGCACTCAGTGGACCCTGGCTCCTCTGGCGCTGTCCACACAGGGCAGCTGTGCAGCAGAAAGCAACAGATCCTATGATGGCACAGGAAGGCAACATATGCTTTGTAAGACCCCAAAGCCCAGGGCTTGGTAGCCATTGAAATTCCATCCAAAATCCTAGACGAACTCCTCTAATCAGAAACTCCAGTGGTCCTCGAGCTAACATTTACATTTGGGCAGTTAAGTGGTAATTGAGGTTTACAAATTTTTATGTGATTTTTTTTCTGGTTTTCTTCCAGTGGGGCTATGAGCTGAAACTTAAATACAGCTTCGTCATAGTTGCTTCTTTCTGTTTAGAGAGGCTGGCATAATATTTTGTCTTTTGGGCTCAAATAACCGTGTAATTACTGTATAATCATATAGTAATTAGCATGTACTATATGCATTTATTACATAATTATATTCCTGGAGGATTGCATGGCAATTATACTTGCATTCAGCGTATCATTTTATATACTGTATCGTGAACAAGTATATAATTTGTTGCTGTTTTCTTTGATCCTAATTTCAGTTTACCAAGCAGGAGCTGGAAACATTTTCCTGTTGCCTGTTTGCTGGAGCGGTGCAGGTGTCTGAGTCCCTTTGGCCTCACTCCATTGCATTTATTTATACATCTCTGGGAATAGAGGAACCCGTGTGCTGCTGGGGACTCCCTGGGTTTGCACTCCAGACACCTTCACCTTGTTAAAGTCATTAAGTTATTAGCTCCGAAATTCCCTGGGTGCTAGAGCTGCCAGCACAGCCAGGTGAATGGCAGGAGCCCAGGGAGGCAGCAGGTCTGAGAAGACCCAGCGCCGAGCGTGATCGTCACGCCTGTCTTTCTCTGCTTTTCAGTGGAGCACATGCCCAAAGGGAACAACTGCCTGGATGCAGCCAAGGCCTGCAACCTCGATGACACCTGCAAGAAGTACAGGTCTGCCTACATCACACCGTGCACCACCAGCGTGTCCAATGATGTCTGCAATCGCCGCAAGTGCCACAAGGCCCTCCGCCAGTTCTTCGACAAGGTCCCAGCCAAGCACAGCTACGGAATGCTCTTCTGTTCCTGCTGGGATATTGCCTGCACAGAGCGGCGGCGACAGACCATCGTGCCTGTGTGCTCCTATGAAGAGCGGGAGAAGCCGAACTGCTTGAATTTGCAGGACTCCTGCAAGACCAATTACATCTGCAGGTATGTGCTGCAGCCGGTGATGAATGAGGTGCGTGGGGGGCGGCGGCGGCGGCGGCGGCGGCCAGGCTGGCGGGCAGTCCGGCTACCAGGAACCGGTTTTCTGTGTTGCTGTCAGGGCAGAAGATGAGGCGAGGACATTCCTATGAATGGAATGGTCAGAATCAGACCTAAAATGTGGCTCCTATCAGCTGTTCAGGGTTTCACCCTGGAGACTTTCTGTTTTTAACAGGAGACAGCTTTCAGAGGGCTAAAATCGGGACAGTGCCTATGCACACGTGTGAAGGGGTAAGTGAGTTTCCAGGCATATGCTCTGTCCAGAGGGCATGCCAGGAGTTCTGTATGTCTGGAGAGGAGCTATGTGGAGATTTGGAGACTTAATGTTGGGGGCAGAAGGGTGGAGTAGACCAGCCTGAGGGCAGGAACTGTGTGCCTTCAGCTCTGAGGACACTTGGGTCTCCAGTGGGTCAGTCTGTGTTAGGAGGAGCAGACACCTTCCCACTCACCTCTTCCTCCAGCCTGCAGCCTCTGTCACAAATCTTGCTGAGCCTGAGAGCTGTTGAAAAACCTCTACTTTCTTTTCCTTTTTGGTCATTTGTTAATTTATTTTAATGCTTGAAAGAGTTGGTAAACATATTCTCTGTTTTTTTTTTTTTTTAAAGAAGCAGTCTAGGATGGAGTGGGGAGGAGAGAAGGTACCCTTCTTCCTATTCCCTCTCACTCCCAGCCTTCTGGTGACCATGGCTGACAATTTGAAATTCATCCTCCCAGAACTGAGGGTTGAATTCAGGTGATAATCAGGGCAAGGAGATTTTGATGACCACAGATTGAGTCTTTGCATGCTAAGCACCTGCGCAGAAGAGCAGACAGCATCCAGGGTGGCAGATCCAGACAGACGTGGTACTGGATGCCACGTGGGCGGTGTCCCCAGGGTAGGATCCAAGAGCCTTCAGGGAACGCCCTCTCTGACAGAATCCTTGGCATGCAGGAAGTGTTCAGCAGGGCAGGTGAGCGTGTAACGAGGTGATTATTTCCCTGTACAGTTTTCATTTCAAAAGAGCTGAGAGCTGGCAAACGCGAGATGCTGAGGGCTGTAGTTAGCCAAGCTCCTGATCCATTTGTTTTATCCTGATAGAATGGCGTCTGAATTCTTTCTCTTTTTTAAATAAATTTTTTATTTTATGTAAAAACCCCAAATTTCATAACAAACTAACATAATAAAATATTTAATACACTGTATCATTCTCTTCAAAGTAGTTACTCAGAGTACAGGACATAGACAAAAAGATTCTCTCTTACAAAGAAACAAACATAATAGCACAAGCCTTTCTTTTCCACGAACTGACAAACTCTGATAGTAACACAGGGAAAGTGAAATGTTTACTGTCTGTATAACCTTCTCACTTTGAAGACTTTCTGGGGATGATGTTGTTTCCCTTTTGTGTGTGTGTGTGTGTGTGTGTGTGTGTGTGTGTGTGTCATGTTGGAAGCAGGTGACCTGACACATGAGAGGGCTTCCGGTATCTGGGCGCCACACGAGTGGCTTGCTCATTGGGAGGAGTCGGGGGTTCGTGTGCACCACACTCCAGAGATTCTTCCTCACTTCTCGTCCCCTGGCCCTCTCTTTTCCAAGACTAGGCTCAGGACTGGGTGTGCTAGACAGATCCTGAGGACCAAACGGGACCTCAGCAAGCCAGCCAGCCAAGGTGTCACACTCCCTGCTAAAGGTGGATGCAGCCGAGGGACAGGACATGGAGAAGCTGCAGGAGCTTGGCGCAGGGTGCAGGATCAGAGGGAGCTGAGTGCTGAGGCCCTTGGAAGACTGCTGGATCCGAAATGCAAATTCCTAGGCCCTTTTATACCGTGAGCAAAAGGCTCCCCCTTCCAGGGGCCAGACTGAATTGTTAGGGCCCATACTAGGTTTAAAGCCAGACAGTGCCTCCCTAAGATGTGGACGTGGGCTTGTGGTCCTTCCTGCAGCAGGGAGGCTGTTTGGGGCTGAGATGGAGCAGTAGCTAAGCCTTTGCTAAACACAGGCTGAGAGGTGGGAGAGGAACCTTTTTCTCACAGATTTACCTTACTCAGGAAGTTCAAAAGGGTCTGTGAGTGTCCTACACAGGCCAAAATTGCATCCTGGGGGTTAATTTGCATCCTTCGATCTGTTCTGCTGAGAGTTTGGCAGATCCAGTTCCTTTCCTACTAATTGATAGCAAGAATAGCCAAGATTCTGGGGATTTGGATGTTTCTGGGGTGGTGGTCAGAGGATCTTGTGGAGAACAGGAGATTTGGCTGCGTCTTGGGCTCGGGTTAACCTGGCAGAAGAAGAGGTGCCAGGCCAGGGGACTCCAGGTAGCAGGGTCTAGACTTGGAGTGTTGCACAGATGTGCCACAGACACAGGGCAGCCCTTGTCCGACACAGCAACCAGTATGCCTCCCCATGCCAGTGTGGTGAGGGCTCCCCAGGTTGGGTTGCACCCGGAGACCGCGTTTACAGTCCTCTCACGCTTCTAGCTCTGGTTAGAGCTCAGAGGCTATTTGCGAATCCAGAGCCGGGCTACCCAGGGGCCTTTACCAAGTGAAATTTGTCTCCGTGTGATGGATGGGCTTTATGCCCTGTCGAGAGTCTTTCCTGAGAAGGTGAATCAGGGACTTCCCCTGGTGTTACCTGTTGTTAAGTTATTTAGCCCATAATTTCTTTCCAGAGCCTGGACTTATTACTCATGATTACCTCCTCCCTGTCTAATGTGGTAAATGTAATTTAAGCACTAGGTTGGCTAGCAGTGTTCCCTTTCATCAGGTTTTATTAATCTTGTCTTTAATTTTATGCCTTTTATTCCATCCCTTCTCAACCTGTCTCCGGGAGGCTGTTGTGAACTATGGAAGGCTGCACCTGGCCCTGGCTGGAGTCGGGTTGGAGGGTTTCTGGTTGCAGGCCCCCTGGCCCAGCACAGTCACTGCTTGTCCTGGTGACTTAAGGCCTCCTCTGAATTCTCCAAAGGAATGGATGCCGGGAGGGAAAAATTGCTTCCTAAACACCACGTTCTTTGAAAGCTCACACTTTCAAATGCTCTGCTTCTGTCTTCACATCAGCGCCTATCAAAGAGCTGCTCAAGCTCATTAAAACCTCCCTGAATGAAATGTTTTCCTACTCATCGCCCGCAGGTTTCCTTCCTCAGGATCCCAGGGTACCTCTGCTCAGAACCTGTGCTTTTCTGCCCGTGACTTCAAACAGAGGAGAGGCAACTAGGGCTTTTCCTTTTGACTTTGTTTTCCTTTTCCCTTTTCCCTTTTAGGGAAACTGACAGGTTCTTTTCCTCTTGGGGTAGCTGAGAAAGGAAAGCCCTTGCCTGTTCAGGCCTCCAAGCTTGTCTATAGCAAAGTAAGCACAGAGGTGTTATTAGAAGGCTGTGATGAAATTTAAAAGCTTCACATTCCCCCTCTGCAGCACGGCATCGCTCCTGCTGGCTTTCTTCTGGTTGCTTTTCCTACTGCCTGGAAAGATGTCACTGTTGAGTTTGGCCAAAAGGAAGCATACCCTTTATTCCAAATGCAAATTGTTTTGCATGCATCATTTAAATTTATACTTTACCTCTTCACTCCCAGACTCTCACAATTAGAGCACTGAGTCAGGATGCTATAAATTTATTGCTATCTCTCCTGTTTTTTCTAATTAACCGCCTAGGTCCCCTAGGTATTCTTCATGTGTCTCCTGTTTCCATCTGAGCTTCGCAGAGGCTTGGTCCAATCCCTTTCTGCTTCCAGCCTCCCCTCCCCAACCAAAAGCAGAGGGAGTTTAGGGCTATCGCACATCCCACATAGTGTTGTGTAGCTGTAGCTGCTTCCATAAGCTGTCCCTGTTGAGAAGAGCCAAGGACATGCTTGTTGTTTTGGTGACTGTGGCTGTCTTGGTCATTTTGCACATGAAGCAGAGTGCTACGCCCTTGGGAGCAGTAACCATTCTTACTGCAAACTCACATATACAGCATGATAGTGATGTGGGTCTGAAGGGGCTCCCCGAGCGCCAGCGTCCACCTTGTGCAGCAGGGCAGGCTTTCCCTTTTCTGGCCCTGTGCTGCTAGGGGAAATTGGCACTCAGCAGTGCTAGGATAGCCCCTTCCTTCTAGAAAGATTCTGATAATGTTGAACATCAGAAAGGAAGGGGTCAAGGGCTCTATTCCTTTTGTCCCCAAGACTTTCATGTACTCCTGGAGATGCACCTTTTCCTCCAGGTGCCCATCTCTGCATCCCCAGAGTTTCCAGAAGTGATGACATTGTTCAAGTGACCCAGTGTATGTATGGTTCTCCCTGTCCCCAAAGAATCAGGATCCCATAATGATATTCTGGAAGCAGTGTAGATTTTTTTTTTTTAGCAGAACCGGGAAGCATCCCTTAGTATAGCTCCGTAAGAGGAGTACATACAGTTTCTCAGTCTCTGCTGTACGTCAGCATCACATTTTCACCCTGGAGTGACCCTGTTATGTGTGAAGGAAATGGATTGTTGGTCATTTGTTAACTGGGGCCATGAGGGAAACGGGCCACAAAACAGTGCAGCAAATTTCTGCCCCAGTGACTTGTTTGGCCTAACAGTGGTACTGTACCTTGAAAAGGTAAGAACTTGTTTAATTTGCCTGGAATCCGACCCTGTTTACACTGTGGATCTTAGAGATCAAGGATCTCCTCCTCTTTTTCTTCTTACACTTAAACTCCAGAGTCAGGACTGGGATTTACATCGCTATGTGGGTGATCGTCTTGACGTGTGACAAGTACAGGAGAAAATGGCTCAGAGGATAATTAATACCTAAAACTAGATGGGTAGATTAATTTGGCACTTAATTTTATTTTACGCCGATTCATTCACAAATGGAAATCAGCAATTAGACAATGCAGACTTTTGAACCATGGAAAGAAAGGTTCAGGAATATGAGGAAATACAAGGAAAACATTTTCCAGTTCATTTGAGCAGTTTCATTTCAAATGATTACAGGGATGTTTTTAGTCGTGCA